CCAAAGGGGGATAAAAAAGGGATAAAAAATGGATGAAAAATGGATCAAAAGGGGGTCAAAAGGTCCCCCACGCCCGGACCCCCCAGCCCCTCTGCTCTGGGCTACCGAGGCCCCCCGGTGCTAGTGCCACCCAGCCCCCACCCGGCCATGCTGTGCCCCCCAGTCCCGCCGCCCCGCTGCCCCCTGCTTTGGAAGCCCCAGGCCCGCTGCCCCCTGGCTTCCCCCAATGTCCGACCCTCCAGCCGCCCTGCACGGCCACCCCCAGCCCCGCCGTGCGGTCCTGCTGGTCCTGCTGGACCGTGCCCCCCAGCCCCGCTGCCGCCCGAGAGCCCCCCGAGCCCCCCAGCCCCCGGTCCCCGCTCCTGACTCCCACGCAGGGCCGGGCTCTGGATGCGCCGTGGGTGATTCATCCCGCTCCATCCCCCCCCCGCGCCGGCAGCTCCCAAAAATAGCGCTGCGGGAGGGGGGGGGACCCTCCACATCACCTCCCGCCCCCCCGCCTCACCGGCGGCAGGCCGGGATGGCGGCCACGGGCCGCTGTCCCCCCCATCCCCATCCCCGGGGCCGCGGGGACCGGCATCAAGGACCCCACGCTCCGGTGGCCACGGTAAAACGGGGATGGAGAGGGGCTGGATGGGGGGGTCCCCGCTGCTTGGAGAGGGGGGTGACGGGGCAGCCCCCGGGCTCGGGCTCGGGGGTGTCTCTCACCGAGGGGACCGAGGGGAGCGGGAAGGTGCGGGATTGTCCCGCAGTTTCCCGGCTGGTCGGAGCGGGATGAGCGGCCGTCGCCATGGGAACCGTGCGGGCAGGGATGGGGTGTGGGCAGGGATGGGGGTACCCGGAGGAATGGGGGTACCCGCAGGGATCGAGGTACCCGGAGGAATGGGGGTACCCGGAGGAATGGGGGTACCCGGAGGAATGGGAGTACCCCCAGGGATGGGGGTGCCCGCAGGGATTGGAGTCCAGGTAGGGATGGGGCTGTGGGCAGGGAAAGCAGGTGGGGCGAAGGGAGGATGAGGAGGGGGTGCAGGAAGGCATTTGAGGAATGTTGGCAGGGGCAGGTGGGTTTTGGAGGTACGGGCAGAGGGGACACAGCCCGGAGAGCTCGGCAACCCTCCCTTACTGGGGAAACTGAGGCACGGAGTGGGGAACACCCCCTCCCGGGGGACCGGTGGGGTCTCACCGCACCCTCTCCCCTTGCAGTGAGCGAGTGCCACCCCCGTCCCTGCCCTCCGTCCCGCGAGCCCGGCCATGCCCAGCGCCTCGGTGCCACCGGGGGGGCTCCCCATGATCCCGGCCGAGGGCTCGGCGCTGCTGCGCGCCGTCTCCCAAGGGAAATTCCGCCTGACCCGCCTGCTGCTGGAAGGGGGAGCCTACATCAACGAAGGCAACGCCGCGGGCACCACGCCGCTGATGGCAGCGTGCCGGGCCGGCTACGCCGAGCCTCCCGAGCAGCCGCGGATGGTGCAGTACCTCCTGGAGAACGGCGCCGACCCCAACATCCCCGACAAAAGCGGCAAAACGGCGCTGATGCACGCGTGCACCGAGCGAGCCGGCCCGGCCGTGGTCGCCACCTTGCTCGCCCACGGGGCAGACCCCAGCGCCCGCGATTACACCGGGGGCTCGGCGCTGCTTTACGCCCTGGAGAGCGGCGAGCGGGAGACGCTGCAGGTGCTGCTGGACGCGTGTCGGGAGCGCGGGCGCGATGTCATCATCATCACCTCGGCCACGTCGCCCCGCGGCACCAAGACCACCCGGCAGTACCTGAACTCGCCCCCGTCGCCCGCTCCGTGCGCGTCCCCCTCGCAGGTGCAGGTGCGGGCGGCGGCGTCGCCGGGGGCCGGCGGCAGGGACGAGGAGCGCGATGTGTTCCGCTTCCCACCCGCCAAGCCCGCTCCGGAACCCTCCCGGGCCGGGCCCAAGCGGCAGCTGAAGAGGCTGAACTCGGAGCCCTGGGGGCTGGCGGTGCCGCGGGTGGAGGGGATGCGGGGACACTCGGAGGGGACCCAGGGACCCGCGGAGGGAGCACGGGGAGCCTTAGATGAGCTATGGGGACCCGCGGAGGGCACACGGAGACCCCTGGAGGGGACACGGGGCCCCTCGGAAGGCTCGTGGGGTTCTCCCGAGAGCCTCCTCCGCATCAAGCGCCTGACCAGGGCCAACAGGCAGCGGCTGGCGGCGGGGCTGGAGGGGCTGCGGTTGCGCCCGCGCCGCCACAGCGTGGAGGGACGCGAGGTCTCGGGGCTGCCAGGAGCCACCTGGGCAGAACGGGTGCCCCCGGTGCCCCCCGCGGGTCGTTGGGTCCCTCCTGATCCTCCACGGGGCAAAGCCCAGCGGCGGGACCCCGAGCTCGCCACCCCTCCCGGGCCGCTGCGGCACACGGCCGGGCAACCGGAGCGCCGCGGCTCCGGGACGCTCCCACCGGAGCCGCCCGGGCCGGGCAGGGCCGGGCTGCTGCCGCCGCTGCCGCCCCGGGCGCTGCTCCGCCGGCACTCCATGCAGCCCGAGGCTCTGCGGCACCTCGGCGCCTTCTGCGGGGGGCTGGCTCCCGAGCCTGGCTCTTAGGGACCCCCCAATCCCACCCAGGGATTTGGGGATCCTCCCTCCCCAACGCCAGGATGCTCTGAACCCTGCTGAGGGTCAGCCCTTCCATCCCTCTGTTGGCATCAACTCTGCACGAGCCCGAATTCGGGGAGCTGATGGGCACACCCCAACTCCCAGGGCCTCCCTGGGACCCCCCAATCCCACCCAGGGATTTGGGGATCCTCCCTCCCCAACGCCAGGATGCTCTGAACCCTGCTGAGGTTCCATCCCTGTGTCACCAACTCTGCAAGAGTCCAAATTTGGGGAGCTGGTGTGTGCACCCCAACTCCCAGGGCCTCTCTGGGACCCCCCAATCCCACCCAGGGATTTGGGGATCCCCCATCCTCAACGCCAGGTTCCATCCCTTTGTCACCAACTCTGTACGAGCCCAAATTCGGGGAGCTGGTGGGTGCACCCCAACTCCAAGGGCCTCCCCGGTATCCTCATCCTGCTCCCACCTCATCCTCCCAGCAGCTTTTTCCCCATTTTTAATTCTGGAATTAAAAGTGCCAGTGTGAGGGGTGGTGGGCACATCTGTGGGCTTGGGGGGCACAGCTGGGTGTTGGCACATCTGGGATCCCCCCAAGCTCAATAGTCAGTTTTAAGGAGAAAAAAAAAATACATTTTCCAAGAGCTGAGTTGTTCTAGTGCCAGGCTGGGGATCCTCCAGTCTGGATAGGGAGGGATTTTAGGGAAATTTTAGGGAGCTTTAATGAAGGGCAAAGAACCAAGAAGACAAACTTAGACAAAATCTTGTTATTTGACACAAAACAAGGAATTTCCAGGTGGGATAAATACCATGGGAGGTTTAGGTTTGTCTGGGACGTGGAAAAGAAAACTCCTGGGATGTTCTGGGATGGGGGGTGGGGAGGGATCCCCCAAATCCAAGGGAAATCCCCCCCAACCCTCAGAAACTGCTGCTTCCCTCCTACTTGTCCTTTGAAAACAATAAAATTCCATAAAACTCGAATTCCCCCAGGGGATGGAGCTGCTTTGGCTCCTCGAGGCCGTGTACAAAGCCCAGTTTTTTCCCAGTTTCCCCCCAGTTTGGAGGTGGGACACAAAGGGGTGGAGGTCTGGATCCATCATCGGCGGCGCCGGTCCGGACTGCGGCTCCGCCGGCGCCCGCCCCTGGAAAACAGGGAAGAGGTGGGGAAGGGGGAAAAAGGGGAATTAAAGGGGAAAGAAAGGAGGGAAAAAGGGGGAAAAATAGGGAAAAAGGGGGGGAAAGAGGGAAAAAAAGGGGGGGAAAAGAGAGGAAAAGGGGGGGGGAAGGGGAAAAAAAGGGGGAATTAAAGGGGAAAGAAAGGAGGGAAAAAGGGGGGGAAGGGGGGGAAAAGAGGGGAAAAGGGGGAAAAAAGGGGAATTAAAGAGGAAAGAAAGGAGGAAAAAAGGGGGGAAAAGGGAGAAAAAGGGGAGGGGAAGGGGGAAAAAGGAGGGAGAAGGGGGGAAAAGGGAGTGAAAAAGGGGGAAAGAGGGGAAAAAGGGGGGGAAAAGGGGGGAAGGGAAAAAAAAGGGGAAAAAGGGGAAAAGGGAAAAAGGATAAGGGAATGGGGAAAGAGAGAAAAGAGAACAGGGAAGGAAGTGGGAGGAAAGAGGAAATGGGGGAAAGGGAAAAGAGGATAAGGAATGGGGAAAGTAAAGAAAAAAAGGGGAAGGAAGGAGGAGGAAAAGGAGGGGAAAGGGAGGGAAAAGGGTACAGGAAATGGGGAAAATGAATGAGAAAAGGGTACAGGAAATGGGGGAAGGAGAGGGAAGGAAGGAATCCAGCAGAAGAGCATTTTGGGGTTGTTTACCCTTATTTAAACCCCGCCACCCCCATAACGCTGCACGCAATTCCCCCATTCCCCTTGCCGAGGGAAATCCCCCAAATCCCTCCCATTCCCAGCTCCAGGAATTCCCTGGAATTGCCAGGATTTGCCTCACCTCCTCTTGCCCTTGGGGGGGCCCCTGACGAAGCACCAGTCCACGCTGACCGGCTGCCCCATCAGCTCCTGCCCGTTGAGCCCCTCCATGGCTGCCTGTGCCTCCTTGTAGGTCTCGTACTCCACCAGCGTGTAGCCCTGGGGTGGGATGGGGTCAGGAATGGGATTGGGAAGGAGCCCAGCTCAGGTTTGGGGTGCACAGACCCCTGTCAGACCCCCTGACACCCCGGGTTTAGGGTTGGGAAGGAGCCCAGCTCAGGTTTGGGGTGCATGGAACCCCTGAAACCCCAGATTTAGGATTAGGAATGAAGCCAGGCTATGGGAGAATTCCCAGCTCAGGTTTGGGGTGCACAGACCCCCTGACACCCCAGATTTAAGGTTGGGAAGGAGCCCAGCT